TTATCGCGTTAATGCATTAATTAATTAACGCCGACAATTATTTTATCGCGCGTTAACGCAGTTAATTTTTTTATTATTAAGCGGACATTTTTAATACCAGAACCGGGCAGCAAGCGGTGAACAGCTGTTTGTGTGGCGTCTCAACCTGTTTCCTTCACCTACATTCCCCTGGGTGCTAAGTCCCTCCATGTACAGCTTCTTATCACCCTCTATGTACCAACGTACATTTATAACAAATACCACACATATTACGGTAATCAGCGTTGCATATGTGTCTGACCAAAATACCAAAAAAGCAAAAAAGAAATGATTCATTTAAATTATTTTTTTTAAGTGTTTTTGTTTGTAATATGTAATAAGCATCATTTAGTTATCGCTACTGAGAATTTAACAAACATAAAGAGAAAAAACACCAGCTGAATATCTATTATCAGAATCATAACTGTATTATAACTGCTACTGTGTAAAGAGAATACTGCTGTTAAAAATAACCTGATTTGTTTAAAGTGTTTACAAACCAAATGTTATTGCACTTTTGTTCATATAGCAGTACTTTTAAAATAAAAGTGCGCAATACACTACTTTTGAATTCATTATTGAATTTTGCGCATAACAATGCGATTAATCGCAAAAAAATCATGCGATTAATCGCGATAAAAAATTGTAATCGTTGCCCAGCACTAATATATATATATATTAGTGGTGGGCCGTCAGGGCCAGCAAGGCCTTCTCTGCTGGCCTAGACACTGACAGAATCCCGTGTTTGCATGTTTTAGCTCCGCAGTTTTACTGGAATGTGCAGAAGCCTGTTGAATCGTGTTATTTGGGTTTTATGTTATTCTCCCTGCTTTGTTGTCATATAAATATATGTGACTGGTTCTTGTGAGTTTGTTCTTGTCATTGTGTTAATTACATTGATTCTGACTATATGCATTGCCCGTTAATGACGAAGCATCCCGTCATGCTGCGTCATAGTGACAGACCTGCATCCTTTATAGCTTTGCGCGTATTCATGTATCTGCACTCTGCAGTTAGTGTATTTGTAGGTGTTGAGCTTCATGTAACATGTTATTTCAAACGTCAAATGTTGCAGTGTTATGTGAATATGAGGTGTTTACACTAAAGAAATTATAACCCGTAGCTGTGTCATAATGAGGATAATAGGAGGTGGTTCAACTGTAGGACAGCACTGAAGGCCCAGGTATACAAATACACAGCCCGCCACTGATATATATATATATATATATATATATATATAGGTGGCACCTTGCATGGTAGCCCCTGCCATCATTGTATGAATGGGTTAAAGAGCTTTGAGTGGTCAGAAGACTAGAAAAGAAACGTTAGCATATTTATGCTTCAAAAATATAAACGTAACAGTGTTCATCTGTGAAGATTATCTTGATGAACATAACGTATAAGTGGCATAAACTTGTGATCGCCACAGAGTTTATTTTTCTGCAATATTCAAAAATCCAACAGAAAAATCCCATGGGCGTTTTGCCAAGGGAACCAAAACACGTCATCCCCGCACCAGTCTATTGACAGAGCACATGAGACGATCTGTGTGTCTCCTTCAAAATAACAGAGCCCCTGCCCCAGATAACCTCAACCTAACCTAACCCCTTTCATTCAAATTGACTATGTTTTATATACAAGTGTATATATATATATATATATATATACACATATATATATATATATATATATATATATATATATGTACACACGGGGGTCCTGAGACCCCAGCTCCAGCAGTGTTTCCGCGCCTCTATAGTGAGCCTCATTACCACTCATACACCTGTTTTGTTGGGGTATGCTGATTGACACACAGAGCCCGGCCCCTGCACTCGTCCTTTCATTGTAATTGGCTCGACACTGGCGTGTATGGAAATTCCCCACGCGCGACCCTTGGCTCACACCTTGACTAGCGGGAGAATGCGCGAGGACGTAGGCGGACGTACACACACACACACACACAAACAAACAGCCGCCCGTCGCTGTGAATCACAAACGGGCTCTCTCACTTGCAACCACGGCTGCTTCCGTTGAGACCACCCGCCCGTCACTCTACGCCAAACTCCCGCGAAGAGGGCGACACCATGCCGCGGTCCTTCCTGGTGAAGAAACAGTACAGCGCCAAGAGAGCAAACTCTGGGAGCCTGAAGTCACAGACTGGAGGTAGGACCGTCTCTAGTCACCACATCAGTGTGCGAGGAGGCAAAGCAACAACAATTCAAAATAGAAATATTCTTGGTAGCCTACTGCTTTGTAGATTCAAATGTTACTTGAACAGGAGACAGCCTGGAGTGACCTAAGCTAACATAGAAACTGAATATTACACAACACCTGATATCCAAAGACAATGTTTACACATACACATAATTGAACACGCCAAACTTCAGAATAAGTGATTTCATTTGTACATTTAAGTACATTTTACTGCTTGGAAGTATGAATGCAGACTTTTACTTGCCATGTTTCAAGAACAGCATTTGAATGTTTCCCATATTTGTTAAGTGTGTTTTAGCCTTTAGCTCTATATGGAGTCACAGCTCTGTGATGTCCGAGGAGTTCAGTGGCTCACATATATCAAAGATTAAAAACATCCTCCTTTTGACCAAACTGTGAGGTAAGAAGTTCATGTTTTACAGCATTTAAAGACTTGTGACTGATCATATTTATCCTTCTATCCTTTAAAACCAGCACACCCTTTCTGTTGTTCAGCTCTTTACAAAATGATGGAAGGAGAATAATGCTGCATAAAGTGACATAACAGTTTTGTCCAGCCACAAACAAAATGTAGTTTTGTGATTAGCAGGTGCAAAATCCCCAGGTCCTTAAGAAGAGCAGAAGGGCCCCATGAAGCAGCCTCAAGAGCCTATGTAGCCTTCCAGGCTCCTCCTGACAAACCCCTCCTCCAGCCTTTGTATCTGTTCCAATACAGCCCTTAGAGCAGGGGTCTCAAACTCCTCTTCACTCCGGGCCACATCAGCATCACGGTCGCCCTCAAAGGGCCGGTTGTAACTGTAAGACTGTGTAAATGTAACTACTCCTAACATATCGGTAAATAACTCTCTCTGCATTTGATTATTGTTTATTCAAGTGTAAAAATATTGTACATGCAGTTATATAAATGTAAAAATATATTTCAGCACATTTCTGTTATTATAAATTAAGTCCTTTTAATTTAGGGTTAATAAACCCACATTACTCTATCAAAGATCAAATTATTAACGAAAATAGCCAACACAAATATCAAACAAGTTATTATAATAACTTTGTTCAAAGCTTAAAATCCTTTCAAGGGTGCGTTTGCACAATCCCACGTGAAGTATTTCATGTGTTATAAAGCCACGTTTAAAGTCTTCAATGTACTCACAATACATTTCATTTCAAGTCTACAGTAACCAGCCAAAGAGCTGCTTCTACAACTGTGTTTATGTATCTCATCATTATGACTTTCTACCATAATTTTGACTTTCTATCATAATTATGACTTTCTATCATAATTTTGACTTTCTATCATAATTATGACTTTCTATCATAATTTTGACTTTCTATCATAATTATGACTTTCTATCATAATTATGACTTTCTATCATAATTTTGACTTTCTATCATAATTATGACTTTCTATCATAATTTTGACTTTCTGTCTCATAACTTCGACTTTCTATCATAATTTCGACTGCGGGGATATTTTTATTATCAAGTCTAACATTTAATTATTTATTGTTAAATTCAATTATTTGAAATTTTTTGCTGGCGGATTCGCGGGCCACATAAAATGACGTGGCCGGCCAGATTTGGCCCGCGGACCTTGAGTTTGAGACCCCTGCCTTAAAGCGAGCTTGAGCTCCCCATCCCGCTATAATGATGACTCCCATTACTGCCACCAGAGTAGTAAGGAAGAAGAGCTGGTAATGGACTGAAATCATATTTAATTTGACGATACATATTCAGGGATTTACGTAAGCTGTACAAACTTTAAATACATTTTTGAGGACCGCAGATGGTGATTTCCTGCATGTTTTCAAAGATTCTATCACAGTAATTGTATTTTTGCGTGATCTGTATGAAAAACAGCTTGAGTTTTGGATCTCGAGTGAAATTTAAGATTAGAATTAAAGCGCCTGAAAAGTTGGTTTCAAATACATTTTCAAAGTTTTCTCTTCTCTCTTGAAGATTAAATGAATATTCAGTCAATCAATCAGTCAATGGTAACGTTTGAAAAAGAAGAAGGGTGGGCAGATTGATACCTAAAATAGAGACCGACCAAAAGCAGCTAACACAAAGCTATGTTGTGCAGCAACGTTGGTCATTGATGTCTTATGGAGAGTGAGTTAAAATAATATGTCTGACAACAATCTGTGGTGTTGTGTCCCACTGTAACCAGTCCACTCAGTCTCTCTGTCCCACTGTAACC